TCCTCTACCTGGGTGGGTATCTTAGTTGCTGCAGAATAATTCAAAGATACACATCCGATTGTTATCATATGCCTTTGGGAGGGAACTGGGTGCCAGCTGACTCTCGTCTGAATCATTAACTTCTTGACTGTGCTCTTTGAAACTCAGGGAAGATCTAAGGAGACTAAAGTCTTTTTCCACAAACCAGATAAGGGAGACACCAAGGGACCTTGTACCCAGGAGGGCCCCACAGGGTCCTGCTCAGTTCCAGTCCCCCCTTTTCTATGATACTTGTCAATTTCAAGGGGAACACGTGTGGAACTAGAAAGGGAATAAAGTTTTGGATAGAGTGGTTAATCATAAACTCAGACAGAGAAACTGTTCTGGGGGGACGCAGATTCATGCCAGCTGAGTGACCCCATGGCCTCTGCTCTCCCTGATTTGATTTGATGTTTTTTTTCCTCCTGTCTTTCAGAGGGCTTTTTATGTTTCAGGACATGATTGAGGCTTTGGGTCCTAGTGGAATACCAATTCTGTTTTTCCAGGTTTAGTCTGTTATTCTTGTTATTGTTGGTTGTGTCAGTAGAAAAAAAAACTCTTACTTCATCTTTCATTAAGAAATGACTCAGCAATTGCAATTTAATGGGGTATTTCCCCCCAGTTTTCATGGATAAAAAATTTTAATTCTTTGCCTCCTTTAAAGTTTCTTTTCCCCCAGAATTTAATTTTTACTCCTTGGCTGAATATGTACTTTAGATCCAAATTAAATAGAGTCTATATTTTAAATTTCTCTTGTAATTGGGAATAAGTTAAAATTAGTAGTATTGAATTTTCACTTCACACATTTTTTTAATAATAACATCCTCCCTGTTTCCCTGCTCTCAAAAAAAAAAAAAAATGAATCCTACATGAAACAGGGACAAATGGTTCATGTTTAATTCAAATTAAATAAAATATGAAAAGGTTGGTTTAAAAAATTATGTTTAAATTTTAGTGATAAAATTTCACATTCAGGAACTGGAAAGCAGAAGTGGAACAGATGAAAAAGCATCCTGGGTTTAGGTCTTCATTAGTTGTGAGATTTTGGCCTGATCTCTAAAAGAAGGATTAGACTAGGCCCCTCGAGGGCTTTTCCTATTCAATTTATTTGTGACTTTATGAAGTCGCCTCTTTGAACGCTGTCTTAACGCTGATGTGCCTCAGGTGTCTAGTGATCTTGTAGGTCAGCTGATTCCTAGCCATCCCCTCAAAGCCTGCCTTCATCTGGATCCTAATTTAGTTTGGCATTCCCCAGTGATGTAAAAGGCAACTCGTGCTGGGCAGCCTTCTTGGTGGCCCCCTCATCAAAGGTTGACAGCTCAGCTGCCTTCCTGTTCCAGAGCATGGACCCTTGCTGGCACTGAACTGAGACTGCTAATTGTTCCACCTCTAGGATCTCATTTAAACCCAAACTGCCATCCCCAAGGAATATTATTTGGTTGTCTGTCAGACTCATTGAGACCAGTTATTTCAACTTGGAAGGGAGATTTTAAATGGAGGAGAAGTTAAGTTTTCTTTTCTAGTGTTAGATTATCAGTCAATCAGTTCAGTCGCTCAATCGTGTCTTTGTGACCCCGTGGACTGCAGCCCGCCAGGCTTCCCTGTCCATCACCAACTTCCGGAGCTTACTCAAACTCATGTCCATCGTGTCAGTGATACCATCCAACCATCTCATCCTCTGTTGTCCCCTTCTCCTCCCGCCTTCAATCTTTCCCAGCATCAGGGTCTTTTCAAATGAGTAGCTTCTTGGCATCAGGTGGCCAAAGCATTTGAGCTTCAGTTTCAGCATCAGTCCTTCCAATGAATATTCAGGACTGATTTCCTTTAGAATGGACTGGTTGGATCTCCCTGCAGTCCAGGGGACTCTGAAGGGTCTTCTCCAACACCAGAGTTCAAAAGCATCAATTCTTTAGCGCTCAGCTTTTTTTATAGTCCAACTTTCACGTCTATACATGACTACTGGAAAAACCATAACTTTCACTAGACAGACCTTTGTTGGTAAAGTAATATTGCTGCTTTTTAATATGCTGTCTAGGTTGGTCATAGCTTTTCTTCCAGTGAGCAAGCGTCTTTTAATTTCATGGCTGCAATCACCATCTGCAGTGATTTTGGAGCCCCCCAAAATAAAGTTTCTCACTGTTTCCACTGTTTTCCCATCTATTTGCCATAAAGTGATGGAACCAGATGCCATGATCTTAGTTTTCTGAATGTGGAGCTTTAAGCCAACTTTTTCACTCTCCTCTTTCACTTTCAAGAGACTCTTTAGTTTTTCTTCGCTTTCTGCCATAAGGGTGGTGTCATCTGCATATCTGAGGTTATTGATATTTCTCCCAGCTTTCATGATTCCAACTTGAGCTTCATCCAGCCCAGCATTTCTCATAATGTACTCTGCATATAAGTTAAATAAGCAGGGTGACAATATACAGCCTTGAAATACTCCTTTCCCTATTTGGAACCAGTCTGTTGTTCCATGTCCAGTTCTAACTGTTGCCTCCTCACCTGCATACAGGTTTCTCAAGAGGCAGGTCAGGTGGTCTGGTATTCCCATCTCTTTCAGAATTTTCCACAGTTTCTTGTGATCCACACAGTCTTTGGCATAGTCAATAAAGCAGAAGTAGATGTTTTTCTGGAACTCTCTTGCTTTTTCAATGATCCAGTGGATGTTGGCAATTTCATCTCTGGTTCCTCTGCTTTTTCTAAATCCAGCTTGAACATCTGGAAGTCCACGGTTCATGTACTTTTGAAACCTGGCTTGGAGAATTTTGAGCATTACTTTGCTAGCGTGTGAGATGAGTGCAATTGTGCGGTAGTTTGAACTTTCTTTGGCGTTGCCTTTCTTTGGGATTGGAATGAAGATGACCTTTTCCAGTCCTGTGGCCACTGCTGTGAGTTTTTTGTTAAGGGCCACAAAGTCAGAGCATGTGGGAGCCCGCCAGTGGCGAGCCAGGCAGGGGTTACTTCTTAGAGGTCCCCAGAAGACATACCCAAACATTCCCATTCCCTGGCTGCATGGCACCATTAAAAGAATTTCAGGGTGAAATTTCAGCTATGTGTTATCAGCCAGACCCTCTGTCTGCAGTGATCCTACCCTTCTTTAGTGCTATATTAGATAAATAGTCATTGTTTAATGACCCTTACTTTAAAGACTTTCTATTCCCAAAGAGAAGCAGCTGATTTCTTTGTTAAGGTCACCATTACGTCATCACAGACTTACTGGGACCAGGACAACCCTGGAGGTCATACAGTGCTAATCAGCAGAGGGCGCTGTTGCTACTTCTCCTTTGTATGAGATTGCCCTCCAGCTCTGCAGGAAGTCAGCATTGCTGGCCCCTGGGCTCTGAATATCACAGTACTATTCTCCTCCACTCAGTCACTGTGAAAACTAAATTCCCAACTAATTTTCCTACATTTCCTTGGGGTGTTAAGAATGATACCTTCCCCCCCCCACCCCCCCATCTCCGACCACAGAGCGCAGTTTGCAGATGGATGATTAGAACTTGCTTCTGATGAACCAGCTGGTCATGGGCGGAACCAGGCCTCTGGACTTCTGATCCAGGACTCTTAGTGTGGTAACCCTTCCACCCCCTCCCTCAGTGTGTTGAAAATTGACGTACGTCTGCGACCATATTGGATTACTGATTTAAAGTCTTCTTATTTGTGCTTTTTCCGGAATGAGGAGGAAAGACAGGAAACAGCAAGGGTGTTGAAAGGTGAAGGAACCACTGTTAGAATCAGGCAGATGCATACGCAGAGCTGGGACGTGTGAGAAGAAAAGTGACAGGCAGCACCAAACCTGTCTCCTCCAGCTTCAGGTGGATATGCCCTCACTAACTGCTGCTGTTCATCCAGAAACATGCCACCCCGTCTGTGGGCTGGGCACCCACTACTCCGGGCGCTAGGACTACAATGATGAGGCATGCGCTTTCCTTCATGAAACGTATAACCTCAAGGGAAGACAGCACTCAAAAGGAATCCCAAGACAGGGCTATAAACAACTACAGCCAGCGTCTTCTCACAGCTATTCTGTGCCAGGCCCTGTCAAGCACTTTACAATTACTATCTCATTTAATCCTCCTTGCACTGCCATGAGTTAGGTACTGTCATTATTTCCATTTTTCATATGAGGAAACTGAGACCTAGAAGGTGAAAGGGATTTGTCTTGGAAGGTATATTATACTGCCTGATAACAGTCGCAGGTACAATGTATTTTAAAAGCCACGTAAAGAATGCATTTAGAAATAATGACACTGATCAGCTTTACCCCTGTCTGAGAGTCAGTTATAGACTTTATGTTTCTCATGCAAATAAAGCTTCACTTTGAGGATATCCTCCTCTCCACACCCTGTTCTCTTCCCATTTCAAGTGCCTGATGCTTCCTGTAGTTAAAAAGGCCAGAGATACCCACTCTGGGGAAGCAGTTCCTTGGGCTCAGTAGTGTCTCTTTGATCACAAATTCAGATTGATTGCTCTCTATTTTGCTTTAGGTCCCCTTTTAAGATGAAGATAAATTAGCAGTCTCAAGTGAACTCCAGCAGAGTCATATCCATTTGAGACTGTCACAATACAAGAGATTTTAATAATCAAGGAAACTAGCATTTTTTCACATACCAAGGGCTTGCTGACAGAGGAGATGCTTGCGTCTGCTGCACCCAGATATTCCATGTACACCCCTCCTCCAACTCCAGCCCCTGTCTAACACCTTGGAGAGGAGGTAGAACCTCATTATTTGACATTGTCTGTTTTATTAAACTTGACAAAACCTGCTAAAACAAACTCAAAAGACAAAATGATGGACCTGTGTTACAAAATAAACTTTAAATAGAGGTTGATCTACAAAGCATTTAAGATTTCTCTGTCTGTCTATCTATCTGTCTTCCCCATGGGCACTCTGTAACATTGATCCACATGATTGTTTGTTACAGTTGAAGCCTAATGCTAATGTTGCTTATCAGAACTGAGTTGTTTCAAAATTTTTTTTACAGGGTCGTCATGTCAAAACAGGCCAGCTGGCAGCCATCAAGGTTATGGATGTCACAGGGGTAATGTATCTTTATCTTGCCATCTCAAAGTTGTTTTATATATTTGTCTTAAGAAGTTAGTGATAGAGAAAAATCATTTTTTGGAAATAGAATCTTTTTTAGACATCTAAGACCTTTCCCACTTTCGCTTAACATTAAGAGTATTCAGCAATTGACTGAGATGACCATGGGTAAATCATTCTAATTAGGTACGTACACACTGCCTTGTGTAAGGCAGAGTGAAGAACAGTGTGTGCCAATAATTTACATAAACACAACTGAGGACATTTGCATATGAAGACAAAACAAGGATTTGAAGGTATTAAGAGAATAATACTGAGATTACACTGAAGAGGTGGATCTCAAGGGTTTTCCCCAAAGTCCACCTGACACTGGAATAGGCAAGAGTTTGGATGGCTGTAAAATCCTAGTAGGATGTATAACATGAATATTTTCTTCCCCAAAATATTGTGGACCAAATATTCACCATATGCACAAATACTTATTATTATTGGGCAACACTGAAATAAAATTTCTGCCTGGATAATCAAAAGCAATCTAAGCAATAGACTTTATTTTAAATACAATCTTATGCTTTCAATCCCTTTTGCTAGGCCTATTTAAAATATTTTAATGCCTTTTCTAGAGTACAGAGCAAAGATCAGACTTGAAAGTCTCACTCGACATCAAAAGCATGTCAATAATTTTCTATTGTCTTGGGAATTTTTCTAAAGATGTCTGTCAGCTGTACATAAAAGCTAAAAGACCACAGTTTTCCTTTTGCCCCAGAAGTGGATTACTTAGTGTAAAGAGATGTGGAATGAATAGGTCACACAAAGATATCAAGAACCAGTATGCAAATAAGAAATACACACAGTTTGTCCATAAGTCAGACTTTAAGCCTTATCTTCTTGGTCCTGTTTGTCACCTTTGATAAGTATACATTATATGCTATGCTATTAACCATGATACTAATTGTAGTACTTTTCATTTATACTATACATTTATGACTTCCTTTCCTTAGTCATTTTTTTAATCTGAATTCCTCTTTATGTTATATGTAGTTTTAAAATTATATGCATTTTAACAGGTGAAAAATTTTGTTCCTATGTGTTTAGAACCACTTAAAGTACTCCTTCCTTTTATTTGTCTTATATGCATTATTCAAATTTTAGAGTTTGCAAACCATCTCAAATAGTTCATCCCAATTAGTTTTTTAATTCACCTGGCCTTTACTGAATACGAAAAATGCATATAGATTATATTAATAAGGTTTAGTTTCTGCCACTTGTAGAAGAAAATTAAAATTAACAGACTTAAGCTTGAAAGTGTTATACCATCACATGTTAAATGAATTTAGAGTCGACAGCCCAGAAATGTGTAGCAGCAATGTGACAGAGTAGGAGGGTGTTTTAATCTTTCTGTTCCACCACTTCTGACACATAGCTTCCACACTTAAGGTCAGTTCCATGACACAAGGTGGTTGTTGGATTTCCATTGATCACGTTCTTTGGCGGGCAAAAAAAAGGTGGGTAGGATGGGGAGAGAGTTGGTGGGAGAAGAGGATACAGAATATAGCCCCTTCAATGAAATTCTTTCTACTTACATACAACATTTTTATTTACTTCTGCTTTCCTTGGCTACCTTGCTGCAAGGGAAGCTGGGAAATGTAGTCTTTCATCCTACCAATGTGCCCAGTTCATCTGGGTTCTTTTATTAGTCAGGAGTGAAGGGAGAATGTGTTTTTCATTAGCTGGGTCTGACAAAAAAATCAAGAGCAGATACTATCAGTCTCTTCACAGAAACTCATTAGAAATGTATAAATCTTTCACAAGCTCCCTGCAAAAAACAAGAATTTATTTTGCAATTCTGCTGAAGTTGTACTATTGTATTTTCCTTGGATTGAGCAGGATTGCCACATAATGCAGCACACTTGGCAGTTGAACAACTAATGGATGTGGATGGAGTCCAAGACATTCATGCCATAAAGTTCTGTTGTGTGGGTCTGCAGAACTGCAGTTGAGTTCCACTGATATCATTAATCTCGGTGCACAGTTGTGCACAGAGCTGTATATTGATGCACAAAGTATAGGAGAGCTCTGAATATCACTTTTCTGGTTCTATTTGTGAGATTTTAAGTTGCTCAGAGAATTATTTACTATTGCTAGACCACCTTGCTTGGAAGAAAAAAAGGTACAGAGCAGTTTATCCCAGAGTATGTATTTTCATAGCTACGCTATGTTAGTTAGCCTCTCTAAACTGGGTTTCACAAGGCAACTGAACCCTACAGAAGATGATTTAGAGACAATTTCCTCAATTCTCCCCAGGATGGTGAGGAGCTGGCACCATTTCAATGCACAGGAGAGTCAATCCATTGCATATAATGGATGCTTTATAGTATGTGGGCTTGATTCTCTTGGGGAACCTCTGTTGAAAGGGCTGGATAGTTCTCTGTTTTAGGCACATCATTGACCATGACCATTATGAAACCACTGACCCTTAACAAAGGCAAACATGGATATACATCGGGAAATGGTTTTCTTATTTCCCATGGCATATGATCCAGCAGCAAATGACTGTTGTATCACTCCTGTACACGTCATAGTCAACATAAGATTTCCTTTGTGAAATTCATGTGGTGTCCTCAGAAAACAATCTATTTCATTTTGCCATGTTGTCTTTTGTGTATTATGGAATGTTGTAAAAGCTTCTTACCAATTATTATAATTGTGCTCATTATAGCTGCCCCGAGATGAATTCTCAAAGGTCGCCTTTGTTAATTGTTTGCATAGAAAGTTACTATAGATTATTGTAATGAAACTGATAAAACTATCACCTTGAAATCAATTTTTAAATTATTTTTATTCTATACCATGTCCTTTTTTAAAGAAGAAAGTAATACAGAAAAAAATGAGTGTAATATTTATGTTCTTTAGTTTTAAAGCTGAGACACTCCCAAATTTGCCCATATTTGCTTCAGAATTAGGGCTTAAACTCAGTCTTTGAAGTTCTTTCGGTTTCTGAAATAATTATGAGAATTTTTGCATTCCAGTGTTTTCTGGGGATTCGTTCCCAGCTGGATTTGTGTACTTTAATTATCTAAACAAAACTGTATCCTCTAGGACAGTGTTCCTCATAGTGGACGGCTAATATCTATGAACTTTCAGCACACTTGGGGTGCTCATCAGAAATGCAGAAATACTGGGCTTGCTGCAGAATTTTTAGGTGGAGCTTCAGAACTTGCCTTTTCTTTTTTTTCTTTTGAAAAGCACATAATTTTTTTATTTATTGCTTTTTTTTCTTCTAAGTTTGTTGAGATATACTTGACCTACAGTAGGTGTACAGCATAATGATTAGGCTTACAAATATCAAAAAAGATTATACAATAAGTTTAATAAACATTCATCATCTCATATAGATACAAACTTAAGAGAAATAGAAAAAAGATTTTTTTCTTGTGATAAGAACTCCATTTCATCCATCTCATTAGAACTGATTCAAATGAATTCATGTGGGAGAAGGCGAGGGTGGGATGTTTCAAGAGAACATCATCGAAACATGTATTTTATCTAGGGTGAAACAGATCACCAGCCCAGGCTGGATGCATGAGACAAGTACTTGGGCCTGGGGCACTGGGAAGACCCAGAGGAATCAGGTGGAGAGGGAGGTGGGAGGGGGGATCGGGATGGGGAATACATGTAAATCCATGGCTGATTCATGTCAATGTATGACAAAAACCACTGCAATATTGTAAAGTAATTAGCCTCCAACTAATAAAAATAAATGGAAAAAAAAAGAAACCTGGGGGAAAAAAACTCCAGATTTACTTTACAACACTCATATATAATAGAAAGCAGTGTTAATTATATTTATCATGTTGGATGTTACGTTCCTGAGAAGCACAGAATTAGTTCAGTCCGGATAGATGATTCTGTTTTAGTCAATTTACAAATTTAGTTTGTGTAAATCTCCTTTGTCGTATAGCCTCTGCAATTTCAATGGATAAACCACTCTTCATTACTTGTGGAAACCTAACTAAAATAATCAGATGACATCTTTGATGTACACTAATTATTATTGAGTTTCCTTTACTTATTATTGAGTTTCCTTTACTTCTGTGTTTAGCAATACTAGGCCAAGGAACCACTTATAGAACAGCATACTTCCTATAAAATTCTGGATGTTATCTAAAAAGTTCATCTTTTACAATTCATGACTAAACTGGTAAAATCAGAGAATTCCCTGTCAGACAGAAATGTCAAATAATCAGAGGATTAAGTAAAGAAGGTAAGCGTTACAATTTTTCCATATGTCTGCTGATCCCTGATGGTCTGGAGTGTGGCGGATTCTGCCTTTTCTACAAGCTCATCAGGGTCTTCATGCACACCAACCGGAACAGAACTTTTCTAGGCCAAGTATGAAGAGACTATGGTCCTTTGATCACCCTGCAAATAATCTCCATCTTCATTTGGATCAAAATTTCTGGTGTAAACTAGTCCCTTTGCAATGATACTTTGAAGTCCATGTAGGACTTGATAACATAATAACTTGGTATTGTAGGCTTTCATCTTAACAATGACTGGTTATGATCATTACTCAGGACATGTTGGGTTTTAGTACCAAATCCCCACTCAGAATGGATGAAGCTGAAAACAGAATTTATTGTTTTGTGTATATTTTAAAAAAAAAAAAAGCTCAGCAGGGTCTAGGAAGTAACATAATTAGTTGGGAATTGTGTATCTCTCTCCATCTCTGAACTTTGCTTTCTTTCCACCAGCAGCTGCAGGCTCGTGTTCTAATTACTTCATTACCCTTAGTCTCAGCAAGAATGCAAGTCTCAATATCAGAAGCCCAGCTTGGGTCACCTCATCATCCCAGTGCCGATTCTGTTTCTCTTGAGCCACATCTGGTCCCTTGTGGCTCTGATGGTAAAAAATGTGCCCGCAGTGCTGGAGACCCAGGTTTCATCCCTGGGTCAGAAAGATCCCTTGGAGAAGGAAATGGCAACCCACTCCAGTATT